CCCCCCAAAAAAAAAAAAAATACACTAAACAAGGAAAAAGAAAACATTATTTGGAAACTTATGGTTTTGGGGTTAAAATCATTAATTAAAAAGGACATTACAAGGGGGGTTTTTTCCATGAGGGGCATTTTAGCCATTTAGACGAACATGATTTTCATGTGTGCATTTGGATCTATGGTGCTATTTAGAGGGGTTATCTAACACAACTTAAGGGGTTAAGTGACATTTATAAAGTTGAGGGCAGTTACCCAAAAACTGCCAGGGGTTTTGTGAAATTTACCCCTTCTGAATTCTATGAAGTAAGAAGTTTAAAGTGTGTGATTGAACAGTCTGGATTACCAAACATAGTATTGTACAATTTTCACGGAAATTGTTCAGAAAATACAGTTGACCAAACTTTGAATCGAATTCTAGGTTAGTTATCATCTTATTTAAGTTAATGATAAACCCCCACAGCCCTTTCAGATGATGGTAATATGTTAGCTTACTATGAATGGGCAGCAAAGTCGACCTCAAAAGCAAGGAAAAACACACTTGATTCTAATTTTTCCGTCCAAATTTTTTTACATAATACTGAACATAAAAGGAAATGTAGAGTTGTCTTGTGTTTGAAGATTCCTGAAGCCAAAACAAGCAAAGAAGCATTGACCTTCCATAACTGGACTTAAGCAAGAGAATCAATTTATAAGTCAAATTATCCATATCCTCACACACTTCACAGGAAAGGATATTCTTATGATTTGAGGAAATAGAAAAACAGAACACACAGAATTTTTTTTTTTTTTTTTTTTTTTTTTCAACTTCCTTAATTAACAGATACAAAAGACACGGTATTTAGTATTTAATACAGAGCATAATCCTAATTTAGCACCCACTAACCCCAAAATAACGCTGCTATAACTAGCCTATAACCAACCCACTACATGACTTCAACTAAATATGGAAACTACCCTCTCTAAACTAATTCCAGCACACCTCTAAACAAAGAACGTGGCTGCCTATAATTAACAACCAGATTACAACTTATTCTTAACAAAAATAAACCTACAACTAAAAACGTAGCTTCTAGAAACTGCAGCTCTTATGCGCCTTGCTGACTTGGCTGCTGACTTGGATTACATTCAACACTCCCCCTTAATCCAAAGTCATCTACATCCATCATTCTTCGACACCAAACAAACTTCTCTCTTGCAAGAGCCTTGGTCATGATATCTGCAACTTGTTCATTCGTATTAACATACTCCAATTCGATTTCCTTTTGCTCAACCAACACTCGGATGAAGTTCTAATCATTGTCAAGATGATAAGATTGAGGAAGATGCAGTTCTAACAATGATATGCAATGATATGTCAAGATGATAAAAGACTAAGGCTTTTAGGTTAGAGCATTGGGGAATTAAAAAAAAATGCCCAAACATAAGCAGAGAAAAAAAACAAAAAAAATTATGCAGAAGAGAGACCAAAAATATGCTAAGAGACAGAATAAGAAACAACTACACACAAGAAGTTAGCCTTCTCCAACTACGGATAAAATGAGGAAGAAACGGTACGAGATGTTTAAACATGTCACATGTGAATGAGAGGTCCATAATGTGTCGGTCATAAAATAATGTAGCAACAAAGAATTTAGATGCATGATGAAGGCAATTTCAAGGACTGATACTTGAATGGAAGAAAATGACCCATCGAGGTGATAAAAAAGGATTTGAGCTCTAGAACCATAATTTGGGACCTTTAATGGATGATCAATTCCATCAAGAGAGATTAAATTAACCTCACTAATCAGAGCAAAGGAACAAGATTTCTAGGAAGATATTGAAGGACTTTCTAGAAATGGTGTAGTAGATCAGACCATGGGATTTGAGGAAAAAAGGATGAGATATTAGGGAAATAGAGGAGAAAAGGAAAGGTAAATGTGGTAGCTTTGGAGGTGGGAGGAAAAAAAGAAACAACGAAGATAAAACTAATTAAATATTTATGTAATTAATTAATATCTCATAAGTAAAGAAATGGTCAAATAAATCTTCACCCTTCTTAGGGTTTTGAGGTTAAAATGATTAAAAAGGACACAAAATGGGTTTTTTCCCGATTGGGGACATTTTAGCCATTTAGATGCACATGATTTTCACATGCGTGTTCAGATCTAACGGTAGGATGTTATCTACAAAAACTTGGGGTCAAGTGATATTTATAAATTTTAGGGTTGTTATCTCAAGAACTGCCAGGGGGGTTCTGTCAAATTTACCCCTTTTGAAAATTATGAAGTTTAACATGTAAGCAGCCTGGGTTACCAATTGTACAATTTTCAAGGAAATTGTTCAGACCTGTAATGTCAAGAACTCTGAGTTGATTGAACTGTCCGGATAGCGATATGTTTAACACATGAAATTCTATGCAAGCAAGGTTATTCATTGATGTCTCACTGGTTTAGATACGACGAGATTATCATCAAAGTTCGGGAGTCTCAACCTGAATACCTTACAGTAAGATTCTTGTTCAAACTCCAAATAGAACTTTAGCACAATTCATTTCTCACCTTATTTAAGTTGATGATAACATCCCACAGCCCTTACAGATAATGGTAATCATGTTAGCTTACTATAAATGGCTAGTAAAGTCGACCTCAAAGGAAAAGAAAAACACACTTATTCTAATTTTTCCATTCAAAATTGTTTACACAATACTGAACATAAATGGAAATGTAAAGTTGTCTGGTGTTTGAAAATTTTTGAAGAGAGGGGGAAAACAAAGAAGTATTGTCCTTCCATAACTAAGACTTAAGCACAAGAATCAACTTATAAGTCAAATTACCCATGTCCTCACACACTGCACAGGAAAGGAAATTTTATGATTTCAGGAAATCCATCACCAAGAGAGGTAATCAGAGATAATTGCAAATATTATGAAAAATTCTTGGAGTGGCTTTTTCAACACATATTGTTAGTCATTTGTCAAGATGGTAAGGTCAAGGAGGATGCAATCTAAAGAATGAAATGTTTATGGTCAAAGCAGAGTAGTGGCACTAGAATTTTATGCAATACTAGGCATAAGTACCCATGAAAGCAAATGGAAGATTCTATTTGATGGCTATAAGACTAATGCTTTATGGTTAGAGCGTTGGGGAACTAAAAAACGCGCAAACATAAGCAAAGAATGTACACGCACGCACGCACACATACCCCCCCACCCCACCCCACCCCCACACATACAAAACACACACACACACACACACACACATAACTGCACACAATAAATTAGCCTTCTCCAACTACGAATAAAATGAGAAAGAAACAGTATGAGATGTTCAAACGTGTGAATAGAGGTTAATAATGCGCCGGTCATAACAAAATGGAGAAAGAAAGAACTGAGATGCATGATGAAGGCAATTTCAAGGACTGATACTTGAATGAAAGAAAATAACTCATTTAGGAGATAGTTGAATGGAAGAAAATAACCTCACTAATCAGAGCAAAGGAACAAAATTTCTAAGAAGATATTGAAAAACTTTCTAGAAATAGAAATGGTGTAGTAGATCAGACAGAAGGATTTGAGGAAAAAAGAGATATTGGGGAAATAGAGGAGAAAAGGAAAGGCAAAGGTGGTAGCTTTGGGGGTAGGAGGGAAAAAAAAGAAACAACGAAGATCAATTAATTAAATATTTATGTAATTGATTAATATATCAGAAGTAAAGAAATGGTCAAATAAATCTTGTGGTGGATGAAGCAAAAATTGGGTTCCTGTGACATTTACGAAGGAGATTTTATTTGGAACCGCCAAACCATTTAAATTGTTCCTAGAGTTATTATACCTAGTTGTGTGAAAATATTTGATCTAGTATCCATTTTAATATGCACAATATTTATTTATTGAGAGAATTGATATTGATAAATTGTTCTGGTAATAATTAACTGATATTGATCCCTCCACTGTAGGCACGTGCTATCAAGTTATGGAGCATTCAATAAATAACAAAATAGTCTAAGGGCCTATTTGGTTCTTTTCCATAATTATAAGGAAACATGTTTCCCTTACTTTTTAGTGTTTTCTCTACTTTCAAAGTGATTCTTGTGTTTGTTTCGCCAAAAAACATGGAGTATAAGTAATTTCCATCACTTTCCTTAGTTTGCTATAACTTTAAACAATAAGAAAGTAGTTGATGTGTTAATAGATTCCCTCAATTTCCTCAATTTGGTTCAAATTTAAAAAAGAAGAAACCAAGGTTGTGATCACCATGGTGTGGTTACCACTCACATAAGACAAAATTGTTGCCAACATACGTTGAGGAGTCAGGGGTGACCATGTCCATCAGAAAAAAAATTATTTGCAGTGGTAACCCAACAGCTATTTGAGGTAGCAATTTACCAAATGTTTAAAGATTTGGGGGACCAATTTCAAATTATGAGCATTTGAGGGAGTAATCTGAATTTAAAGATTTGAGGGACTAATTTTAAATTAAGGTAGTGATTTGCAAAGTGTTTAAAGATTTGAGGGACTAATCTCAAGATATGAACATTTGAGACAGTAATTTCAAAATGATTAAAGATTTGAGGGACTAATTTTAAATTTGAGGTAGTAATTTGCAATATTTAAAGATTTGAAGGAATAATTCTAAAATTTTATTACTTGGGATTAATATCAATATATCAATGTAGGGGGACTTTTATGAAAAAAATTGGAAATTTGGCCTGAAATATCGCACTTGCGGCTGAAAAATTCCTAAATCCCCAGTCTCTGATGTCTAAAACCTGCAGCTCTCGCTCCCTCTCTTGGTTCATCAACATTTGCAACCCCAAATCCCTTTCCATCTAAACCCCAAACCCAAACCCGATCCATTTCTTCCAAACCTGAACCCCCAATCTCCTCCCTCCCCAATGACCTCCTCCTGGCATGTGTCGCATGTGCCCCCTCTCCTTCCTCCCCTCCACAGTGTCTTCCTTTCCTGCTGCTACTGCTCCCTCCCCCTCTCCTCCCATCATTTCTTCCCCCTCTGTTGCTCTCTCTTCCCTCCCCTCGTCCCCACCCTCTTTTCTCTCTTTCACTCTCCTCTGACAACTTCATCGTCGCTGTCCACCCCCCCTCGAAGCTGCAGATCCCACCACATGGCAGATCTCCTCCTTCCCTCTTCCCAGTGGCGAGAAACCCACAAAACTCACAACACGATTTTTTTAATTGTATCTAATTGGGTTTCTGCCCATTTCAGATGTTTTATGGGGGAACAGGTTTTCCTCTTTGAGTGAGGTGGTGTGGTTTTCCTCTATTCTTTCTTCTTTCCTTTACGTGAACCAAATATCAGAAAATGAAGGGAAAATGACAATTTTCAGTATTCTTCATTTTTTTTTTAACCAACCAAACAGGCTCTAAGAAACTAAAGCAATAACTTCTACGTAAAAACAACTTGCTAGCATTTTAGTCATATGACCATATGACCAACTTAAGAATATAAGTAAAATTCAAAGAAAATATGTTCATTCTTAAGTACACGAACACTCCCTATATTCATATACAACAAAAATAAGTAACAAATTGCAATAGAGTATATACCTTAGATCTTAATGATCTTAGCAGCTCTAATCAAAGGGTTAGCCTTAGAGATCTCCTCCCTTCCCAAAGCCTTGTAATCAAAAGAGCAATCATGGGTCTCAGAGTATCGGTGCCGTGAACAAAATAGCTCACCGCAACGGCACCTGAAGCCAGTGAGACCCACTTTTTTCCTGCAACAAGAACATCGATTAAAAAATCGAAACAAAGACTGAGATTCTCTCTCAGCCTTTGATCCGCAAGTGATATCAGTAGTAGGCCTGTCTGGCTTTTCAGCCGAAAATTCAAATTCTTTAGAAGGTTTCAAGCACAAAGGAGCTGCTGTTGATGATGGTGAAGATGGTTGAGTAGGAGGAGGAGAAGAAGGCTTGAGAATTTCAGCTTCATCTTTATCAAGATTACAGCTTTCTTGTGCCATTTGATGATCCAAAAGGAGTTGAATTTGAAAGGGAAAGGATTAGTTTAGACTTTAAAGTGATTGAAATCAAATAGTTCACAAAAAGAGAACTGACAACTCTGATAAAAAGAGTAAAAATTGATATTTGTATAGATCAAAGGAGACAATTTTCAGAAATACAGCTCAATACATAAAGGTGAGAATTTTCTGAAGAAATTATGAACAAAGTGAAGAAGCCACAAATGTTTTCAGCTAAAGAAACTCAGTATATGACTTAGCAACAAAAAAAAATCTAAGAAATTAGAACTCAAATAAACAAGGGAACGAAGAGGCAGATTACACATCTAAAAGAGAGATTTTTCTTGATGAAATTGAGGTGAAAATGAACACCCATGAAGGATTTGAGCTCTAGAACCTCAAATTGGGAGCTTTATTGGATGATCAATTTCATCAAGAAATATTAAAGACCCCTTAATTGGAGCAAACGAACAGAATTTAAGCCTAAATTTAACAACAACTGAAGAAATTTTCCAGAAATAGAAAGGTCCGATAGATCGGACCGAGGGATTTTAAGCAAATAAAAATGAGAAATTGGAGAACAGGAAGGTAAAGTTGGTAGCTTTGGAGGTGGTGGAGGAAAAAACTAAAAAATAAAAGATAAACTAATTTATTGCTTAATAAATTAAATAAATCTTGTTGATAGAGAATTTATGGTTCGTGTGTGATTTCCAAAGGGTTATTATTTGGAACCACCAATCCATTTTAATGGTTTCTAAAGTTGCTAAGCAAGTTGTATGAAAATATATATATATATATATTCATTTTAGTCTTCACAATATTTAATTATTGGGTGATTCAGATAAAAGTCGCTCATATCTTCAATAACTCCATGTTAGCCCATTAAATGTTTAAAATTGCTCAAAGTCTCTCAAATCAGAGGGGTCTTACAACTTGATCCCTAAAAAATAAAAATGTACCCTATCAGAATTTCCCACATGCGAGTGTTCTGATCCACGGCTGAGGCTAGTAAATTACCAAAATGCACCCTCTTATTCCCATCAGCAGTACATAACACCACAGTTGAATGCGCTATTCTAATAGAATTTGGACTCCTCAATAATACCGTCAATTTATGCTTTTCCCTAAAACTTATGTTCAGAAACACAAGTTTAGGGTTATTTTGGATATTGAGACCAAATGACAACACTCCATATGATTTGATGGAGACAGGTTGTGGTGTCCAAACGGGCCGGCCCGGTTTTTTGTCAAAATTTTAAATATTTTCTCCTTTAAATTTCCAACAAAATATTACACAAAATTTTAATAAAAAACAATGATATTATTAATCACTTGAAAATACATAAATTACAAATATAAAAAATTATTAAAATTAAAATGATAAAAATAAATTCTTTATTAATAATTAGTAAATCATTTAAAATTATAAATTTATTTTGGAGTTCATCGCATCACAGTAGATGAGTATATCCCAACTAGGTTGGCACCTACTCACCTATATCACTATTATTTGTAACTGTTTTCAAAATAATTTATTACAAATTTCCAGGTAAGAAATAAAAATTACAATTTGATGAATATTGTTTACTCTTTATATCTATCTGCTAGTCTCAACTCTTTAAATTTATCTTTAATACCAGTCATCCGATCGATGCCTTGCGTTCTCTTCTCGTACCTCCACGAATCTTGTAAACACGTCACCGCCTGTATAGTATAGGATCTAACGATGTCTTGTGGTCGTCGATCAAACGTTCGGCTATGTTGAAGGCGGATTCTGAAGTTACCGTGGAAACCTGCACTGTTAGTAAGTCACGAACCATTATGGAAAGTATAAGATATGAAACTGTTCCATGTATAAGATATGAAACTGTTCCATACTTTCCACCATTACAAAATATCTAACTATTATTTTGACATTTAACTAAAGATGCAGTTAAATATTGATCAATTTCAGAAACCTTCGCTGATAATCCAAGTCCAGATCCACCAGTTAGCTCAGCTACCATTGCATACCTATCAAAACTTACACTTTTGTCTCGACTTGAGCTCGTGGAAACAGAAACTGTAGACTGATGTGTAGCTACACCATATTAGCTGTATACTCATCATATAATCTTTGAAAATAATTTTTAATAGTATTATGATGAGTAGTAGAAGTAATGGTTTGACCATCATCAGTGTCTATAATCATATAACTATACAAGGAATTTAACAAACTTCGAAGGCCAATATCCTTCAAACACGGATCAATAAGAACCCCCAAACCAAAAATAACAGGAATAAGCATAAAAAAATTATTAAATTTACTTTCCATTTAAAAAATTATATTTCCAAAATAATCATTCATACGATATTTATTAAAAAATTTTGAATATTTAAAATTTGTAAAGCATCTAAAGTAATGGTTGGATAATAACAGCCAGATAATAACATTGTAGCATAATAAAAAACTTATAACATCTCCTTTATATTACTTATAACTGTCCATTCATCTTCAGTTATTCTATACATGCTACCAGAGCTAGAACTAGAAGTATAAAAAGCAATAAAATTATTTATAATTTTTTTATATTATATTGCTACACTTAACATTACATAGGTGCATGGAATTCCACCTATGGTCAATATCTTTTGGAATTAGTCTGAATTTTATATTTTTTTTCTTTTACAGAATTATTTTCATTTTCTAATTCTTTGTTCAGAAGCATTACAAGCATAAATTACTGACCTAACCTTTTCTATCATGGGTTTAATTTTATCAAATGCACTTTGAATAATTAAATTTAAAATATGATAAATACATCTAGCATGAAAAAAATCACCATGTCATGATAATGACAGAGATGTTTTGATAAAATCAACAGCTATATTATTATTACTTGCATTATCTAGTGAAAGAAAAAATATTCTTTCTGATATTTCTAATTTTAAAAGTTCTTCAATTATTTAATTTGTAACATTAATACCAGTATGTGACCCTTCAAATGTAATAAAGGAAATAACTCTTTTAAACATTTGACATTTTTCATCAATCCAGTGTGTTGTGATACATAAATAACCAGTTTGTACTTTAGATATCCAAATATCAAAAGTTAAAGAAAATTTATAGTTTAAACTTTAAAAATAAAAAATTATTTTTCCTTGTTTCTCCTGATAATATTTTAAAATATCACATTGACAAATTTGAAGAGAAATTTTTTTAAATGCGGGGTAAAAACCATTTGTAAATAAATCTTTAAATTCATCATCTTCTACTAATTTAAAAGGAAGATTTTAAAGATTAATAAACCTGATGACGCATTTCCTGGCTCGAGCTGCGTCATAATTCTAACTATCGAGACTACCAGAAGATGAGGATTAGGAGAGCATAGATTGTCGGATATCATATTGAGGAGTCTGACCTTTGTTGTGTTTATCTAAATGGTGTTTGAGGTGGTTGGTGCCGCTCTGATGAGCTTGAAAAATATGATCGCACAATGCACACTTAGCCTTCTGGGTGAGAAGTCTACCGTGCTCATCCCAAGTGATGTCTATTTTTTTTGAAAAAATTCCACACATCGAATCTCGGTCTTTTAGGAGCTCTTGGTGTAGTAGAATCGTCGCCACCAGATTTAGGATCAACATCGGTAGGAGATGGAGGAGTAACTGTATCTCTTGAAGTAGGAGGACTTATTTCAGGAGTTGGGTTTTGCCCTTCATAATCAGATGAGGAAGCCTTAGAGAGCTAAAGCGATTATTAGAGAGTATAAGAGAGTATTAGAGAGAAGTAGGTAAGTTTTGAATGAGAAAAACAAGTGAAAATCCCTTCTATTTATAGAGGCAACCCCTAGACAAATGACCAAAACACCCTCAAAATTTTATCGTTTTTTTGATAGTTTTTGGGGGGAAATGGTCAAAAGGTCAAAAATGGTCATTTATGACCGTTGTGGTCGGGCCGAGCCAGCCCGGCCCAGCCAAGCCTGGCATTTTGCCGAGAAATGGTCACCTATGTGACCATTTGGCCCGGGCATGGGCGGGCCTGGTGCAAGCGCTAACGATGTGGCCCGAACCCGGGCCCGAAACTAAATTTGGCCTGGGTTTCTGGGCTAAACCCTAACCCGGGTTGGGTGTAAACGTTAAAAATTACTTATAGGTCCCCGCATGCAGCTCGAAACGAAGAGAAGATGATGAACGTTATTATATGAGTCAAATAGGACTATCTAATACCATAGAGAAGCTAACAAGCATATGAAGTGAGTCGACGAAGCGTACGAGTCAACGTAACACGCGAAACGGCAAAACATAGAAGAAACAACTCATTTACAATGCATCTTTCCCACAAGGGGCGAAACACCATGTGTTAACCCTAGATTAGGGACCATAACCCCATATATATATAGGTGTTGTACATTTATAATTTGACCCCTCATCAAATTATAGTTACAACCTGGTATTTGCACATTTAACCCATAATTTATTTAAATATCCATTGATCCAATTACCTGATTGATCACTTTATGTGGGCTAACTATAAAGATAACAACATACGCTGATATAACATATGTGCCCACAAATAGATTTAATTAGATTTAAATCCAACAATCTCCCACTTGGGCATTATATGTTTCTTTAAAGTATGTATAACCTTATGAGCTCAAAAATTACTATCATAAATAAGGGTATTTCCAAACAATCTCGTCCATTGAGTATATCAATATATGTTCAAAGCGGTCTTCGTTACATTTATCGTAACTAAACTCATTAATGGTCACATACTAATATAATCAAATGACATAGATCAATCATGGATGTGCAATATGAAAATTACATGTAATGTGATCAGTACATGTCTATTTTTAACTGGCCCTACCTTAAACTTTAGTGAGGTCAACATAATGTACCAGAGTGTATGAACTGAATATTTTATTCTGATTAAACAATACAACCTAACATAAAACACCACAATCACAAACTCCCTCTAAATTATGATATCCTCAAATAATATCACACCCATATGAGCAGTGTGCTCATGAAGACCTTAGGTGACAATCCTTTAGTAAGAGGATCAACTATCATGGAGTTTGTCCCAATGTGCTCTATGAATATCTGTCCACTCTGTACCATTTTTTCACAACTATGAACTTAATGTCAATATGTTTTGACTTATTTGAGCTCCTGTTGTTATTGGAATACTTTACTATAAATTTATTATCATAATATAACCTTAGTGGTCTTTCAATATTTTTCAGAATGCGTAGTCCTGTGATAAAATTTCGCAGCCATATTCCCTGATTGGATACCTCATAACAAGCTACAAATTCTGCTGCCATGGTAGAGGAAGCTACATATGTCTGTTTGATACTTTTTCATGATATAGCTGCTCCTGCTAACAAATAAATGTAGCCTAATGTAGACTTTCTACTATCTTGGCATCTAGCAAAATCAGAATCAGAATACCCAATGATCTCTAACTGTTCTGATTTTCTGAATGTAAGCATATAATCTTTTGTTTTCTGTAGATACCTCATAACCCTTTTGACTTCTATCCAATGATTCATACCAGGGTTACTTAAGTATCTACCAAACATCCCAACAATGTATGTAATATCCGGACGCGTATGCCTGAGCATACATTAGACTTCCAACAGCCGAAGCATAAGGAATCTTTTGTATTTCTTGAATTTCAAGGTTGCCTTTAGGGCACTGATTAAGACTGAACTTGCCTCCTTTAGTAACAAAGGTGTCTCCTGGTCTATAGTCTTGCATGCCA